ACGAGATGATGAGAGAGAGAGATGTCCTCTGCAATGACGCGAGAGGATGACTGATCGAGACGACGAGAGGAGAAAAGAAGAGAGTAGGAGAGATGAGAGATACATAGATATGTGTGCTTGCTTCTACTGCTCACACCCTTCCCTCTGTTCTCCTTCCCTTGATCCCTCTTGTGCTGTGTGTATGGTGTTTGTGGTTTCTCCCTTTCTTTCTACCCCCTTCTCTTCATATCAATATTCTCCCACCTTCAACCAATCCCATCGTTCTTTCTTATTATCCCATAAACCTATTCTTTTATTAACACGCATACCCGATCATCGGAGCGGAAATCCAAAGACACTGGAACCCCTTCTCCTACTGGTCCGCGCTCCCCTTCCCCCTACCCTCACCCCTTCCCTCTGTTCCCCTCCCCCTTAATTATGATCACCCCTTTTATTCGTATCATGCGTCCTGTACCACAAAGCAACTCAGTCAAAAAAGAACACGAGTACTATCAAACGCGCATGTGATGGTATTGCGCAGCAAGGGGGTGAATCGGTTTCTGCTCTCCTTCCCCTCGGTCCCCTGTGCGACAATACTAAGCACTACACTCGTAGGTGCATATATCAGGGAGAGTCAACAACAAATATTATTCCTCTTACACATAATAATCCCACTATAAGATGCGTACCATACATTTCCGCCTTTCCGCACTTACGATGGTTATACAGATTCGTATAAATATTGTGGTTCAGAACCCTATCTGAATATCATGTTACAGCACGCTATTTGAAACAAAACACAATCTACTCGAAAATAATGATTCTCGTAGTTTAATTATGGATATCTTGCTGTTAAGTTATTCTGAAATCAATACATAACTCTTCGTGATTCCTAACTTTTTGGTAGTGCTGTATTATCTCTCTATCTGTGTGTGCTACAAAGTGTTTTGTTGATTGAACATGAATGTGTCTGCCTTCTACTTTGTCTATCCTGTAATGTGATAGATTATATCATGTGTTCTTTATTTGTCCTGACTAACCAATAAGATCTTTCTGCTTTACTTCTTCATTAAAACCCTTTTTTCGGAACTAACAGTTCTTATATTCAATTTTTTTTTCTATGTGGATTCATATATGTATCTGTTGTCTGTCCAATATCTGATATCTATAATAATCTGTTTGGTCATGTTTACTTGTTTATAAGTCATATTTGGTTCTAATCTGTCTAGCACCTAATCTGACTCAAACTCTTCCTCTCTCTCTCTCTACTATGCATTAACTCTCTTCATTCATCATCTACTCTCTCTCCTCTCTCTCTCTCTCTCTCATTCTCTCATCATTGCTCTCTCTCTCTCTCTCTCTCTCTCTTTCATCTGTCTCACATCAACCTCACTTCAACCTCCTCTCCCTCTCTCCTCCTCCTCTCCCTTTCTCTCCCTCTCCCATTCTCCCACATCCCTCCCTGTTTGTTCCCCTAACCACCCCTTCTTCCCACCCATACCCTTTTTTTCCCTTTCGCACTTCTTTCCCCCGCCTCCATATCTATCCCCTCTTCCCCTGTTCATTTTTTTTATTTACTGACCCTCTCATTCCCCTCCCTCTCCTACTCCCCACTCTCCACCCATCTCCTCTTCCCTCCACTATCAACTTCTCTCCCTCTTCTCCTTCTATTACTACTTTCCTCTAATTACCTCATAACCAGCAAGCTTACAATCTTATCATAGTATTACACTCCTCTGATCTTTAATCTTGTGGCGCTGCAACTACAGGTTATTGACACATTTTTCTTTGTCTAGACCTAACATTTCGCTCATACGAAATTTAAAACACAGAGGCGCGATGTGGGAGTAATGACGTTGCCTTGCAAATTTGGAACAAAATAGGTCTATATTATATCTTGCAATTCTTCGTCCATCATCTTAATCCGTTCGCATTTATAAAGTTGTCAGTGTCTACGGATCTACTATAGTCTCTCAGTTTGACCGAGCCTATTATGTGTGAATTACGGATCACCCTGTCGAAACCGTCTCGTATATTTGTAATTTCTCTACCGCTTGTTACGGAAAGGGTGATATTAGTGATACGATATTGCAAATTACGGTTCTGATATATCTAAATTTCAATATTGACAGACATGCGACAGTTGGCCTTGTCGTTATTAAATGTCGTAATTATTTAGAATTTATTTAAGGTAAAATATCACACAGCGTTAAAGAAGCATTTGTTTCTTGATTGGTCTTAGTAGCAACTAAGCTTCTTAGAGATTAGACAACAAAAAAAAGAAAAAAAAATATGGGCGAGAATGTGTATTTGGGCGTTTAAATATATTTGTGGATCATAAATAAGTCAATGTTACATATAGTTTTGTTATTGTTTTTTTTTTAATGCAAAATATTACAATATGGCACTTGGAAGATATCGTTATTTAGATATTCCTTATTAAACAACAACAAAAAATAGAAATGAAAAGAAATACCCAAATGACTTTTCTCGTCTCTCATAGTATTAATTAAATTATAAGTGAAAGCTCATTAGTTTCGGATTATACAATAACTTTGTGCTTTTAAAGTTATACAGATGAAATGCAACTGCAAGAAGAAAAACAAAAAACAAAATATATAATAAAACAGAAAAAAATGATGATTATAATGATATGAGAAGTATTAACGTGTATTACAAGGTTGCCATAAATGATTCACGCACGTGGGAAGAAATATAATAAAAGAGATAATATTGACAAAAGAAATAATGATAATAACAAAAAAAAGTACATGATCCCATCACTTAAATAAAACCACCTGACTATTTAAAAAAACAAAAAACAAAAACAAAATAGGAGTTAAAATTCACAAACATCACTTAAGCCTAAGTCAAATGTACACACAAGAACAAATGAACAAGTACCTGATTATCCATCATTTCTTAAACCCATTTTTACAGCATATTATTTCACTAGTATTTACAACCAGAATGCCTCGTGCAAGTTCTGTATAGAAAATCACGCTTTGATTCCTATTATATACCCTGATGCCTTTGTCTGCCGCATTTTTTAATTTTTATTTTCATTCGTGTGTAACTGTATATATATATTGTGTGTTGGTGTGGTTTGGGTTATTGTGTGTGTGTGTGTTTGGGTTATTGTGTGCGTGTGTGTATGTGTTTTTGGGTTATTGTGTGCGTGTGTAAGTGTGTTTGGGTAATTGTATGTGCGTGTGTGTGTTTGGGATATTGTGTGTGTGCGTGTGTGTAATTGGGTAATGATGTGTGTATGTGTGTGTTTGGGTTATTGTGTGTGTGTGTGTTTGGGTGTGTGTGTGTGTGTTGTGTGTGTTTGGGTGTGTGTGTGTGTGTGTGTGTGTTTTTCGGTATTTGTGTGTGTGTGTGTTTGTATGACCGACAAAACATTCTTTTCATTCATGTTAAGTCTTTCCTAATTGGCAACCAAACTTATGTAATTACAATAGTCAGTCTTAGATATATATTTTTCTATTTGCGAAAGTTTACAATCCGTATAAACTTTGCTATAGACTATTGCCGTCTGAGATATGACTGGTATTTATAACATATTAGCCCCTGTATGTTAAATATTATACATATTAATTTATTCATTTATTCTTTCATATATCTATAAATACGTTTTCTTTTCTCTAAGGGCTGTACGCGACTCGTTTTCTCCGGGTTAGTTGGGCAGACTTAAGAAAAAAAAATCAAACTTTTCTTCCACTTTAGAGATAAAAATGACGAAAGCGATTTTATATAAGAATCTTTAGACTAGGAGTCATTCACCGAAATGCATTACAAGTCATGAATCTAAAAATATATTTATATATAATTCACTTTTTTTTCTGTTTCCCCGATATTAATATGTATTCAAAGGCTTTGCACTGCAGCATCATAATAAGGAATTTCACACATATTTATACATACATACAAAGGTACACATACATACATATATATGCATATATATACATATATATATATATATATATATATATATATATATATATATATATATATATATATATATATATATACATATATATATATATATATATATATATATATATATATATATATATATTTATATATATATAATATATATATATATATATATATATATATATATATATATATATATATATATATATATATACATACATATATATATATGCATATATATATGTATATATATGTATATATATACATATACATATGTAATATATATGTACATATATACATACATACATACATATATATATATATATATATATATATATATATATATATATATATATATATATATATATATATATATATATATAAAATTCTTGATTTGGAATGTGGGTGGGTTAAGCCATCATCTCAAACCTCCAACTCGACTTTGGATGAAGTCACAACCAATAACAATATACTATAAAAAGAAAGAAAATATGATCACCAAAGGTCGCACGGCAGCGGGTTCTCCCAGGGTGCCAAACCACGGGAAGGTGTGTGTGTATATATAAAAGAAATATTCAAAGTTGGATTCAAACAACAAACAGCCTTGTTCTCCAGTGCCAAAAGAACAGTGGGGGGGTGGGGGGGGGGGGGGTCAGTGCCACCCTTCTTGCTCTCGTGAGGTTAATGCAAGCCGTGTTTTTGATAAGGGGTTCGTAATATGGTGTACACAGGCACTGCCCAAGGTGACCCTCTCGTGGTGCTGCTGAGTTCTGCTGTCTACTTTTTATGCTTACTGCGTGCGCTTCTCATTATACAAGGGTTGTGTGGATATGTCGGCGTCTACATCTCTTTCTGTCAGGGAAGGACCTGTATATCCATGTATATCCAAGGACTTGTACCCACACGGGCGCATACCCACACGGGCCGCATACCCACACGGGCGCATATCCAGATGGACGCATACCCACACGGGCCGCATCCGCAAGTACGCATACCACAAGTACGCATACCCACAAGTACGCATACCGACACGGGCCGCATACCCACAGGGGCCGCATACCCACACGGGCCGCATACCCACACGGACCTATATCCACACGAACGTTATTTCCCCTCTATGGACGTGTGTGTGCGTAGTTGCGTAGTTACTGTAGCCTCGTCCAATACTGCGCACTCATGTCGTGGTTCTGGCCTGGCACGGCGAGGGGAACGGACACGCCGGGAGAGAGGAGACCTGGAGAAATAGGAGAATAAACGTTAGAAAACGCAAGAAGGAGGAGAGAGAGAGAGAGAAAAAGACGACGATAACTACAACGGAATGATGATGAGGATCTTGGTGGGGGGGGGTGATCATATTATTAATTATAACAGTTATCATTATTAAGTTATGAGTATCATTATTCTTATCATCATTAATATTAACACTACTATTATTATCATCCTTATTCTTATCATTATTAATCATTCACTTTTTTCAAAATAATTAAAGCAAAAGGACAAGTAAATGAAGAGAAACAGACGAGGAAGAAAATAGCGATAAACAGCGGATAAAGAAACAGGGAATAAAGACACTACGACACTTACCAGCTTGGGAGTTGGGTGGTGTTGGCGTATTGTACTCGTGGGCGTGGGATTGGTGGTGGTGGTGGGAGGCGTGGTGGTAGAGCATGGGCGGGCAGGTGGGCGAAGCGCGGGCGTGCGAATAGAGAGGGTCGTATGGGCGGCTCATGTAAGGGTTGTGGGCGTGTGCCTGTTCTCTTGTGAGTCCCGCGCCCGTCCCCGCGTGCACGCCCGTGGGCGGTTGCTGCGAGCCGAGGCAGTTGGGGCTGGTGGCTGCGACGCCCACGCTCGAGGCCATGCCGAAGCCGCCCCCGGGCCCCGTCATGGAGCTGTGGGCGGGAAGGGCGTCGTTAGGAACAAGTCATAACGGAAAATGTTAAAAATAGGCGTTCTTTCATCGACTTTCATCGTATATGTGTATGTATGTGGAGGGTGTGTGGTGTATTTGTTTCTCTGTCTCTCTGTCTGTCTGTCTCTCTCTCTCTCTCTCTCTCTCTCTCTCTCTCTCTCTCTCTCTGTGTGTGTGTGTGTGTGTGTGTGTGTGTCTGTGCCTGTGCCCGTGCGTGTACATTTACACACACCTGCAAACAAAATACACATCCATCCAAATCTCATTCATCCACACACCCGCAGACACACACACACCCCAACAACTTCAAACCAACACTCACCCATACGTATCGGCCACGGACATGGGCGGCGGAGGCAGCGGTGTATACATGGGCGTGGGCGTGAACGAGTTGTTGACGATCCTGGTGGGCGAGGACGGCGCGACTCCCTCAGCTGCACGTCTTTGGTTCCGCAACTTCTCTTCCCTCCGCCATTTTGCCCGTCGGTTACTGAACCAAACCTGAGAGAAACGGGTTTTGAAAATCGGGTGTTCTGGTTCTAGAATCATATATATATATATATATATATATATATATATATATATATATATATATATATATATATATTATATATATATATATAATATATATATATATATATATATATATATATATATATATATATATATATATATATATATATATATAATATATATGGTGTTTGGGAGTTGTTTACCTGTAAGATTATTGGGATGGCGATATTGTTTTGTTGTAACTGCTAATTATGATGATGATTGTAACAATAATAATATAATGATGGTAACAAGGATTATAAGTATAAAGAAAATGATGATGATACTATTATATTATTATTATCATTATCATTATTACTACTGCTACAGTTAAGATGATTCATCATTGTAATTATCATAATTTCAAATTACATCAATTATCAATATGATCAATCTACGTTGCTTAAACTATAATCAATATTAAGAAAAAAAGAGTGATTATATAAAAAAGGAAGAAAAGTGAAATTCTAATCATAACGATAAGACAATAAAGAGGAATAAAAAGCGATAAGAAAAAATGAAAGGGAGAGAAGGAAACAAAAAGAAAACAAAACATAAACAGTAAACATGGAAATAAAAGCAACAAAAACAAATAAATAAAATGAAAATAGTAATAACAAACGAGAAATAAAAATATGAACGAAGCAGTAGCAAAGATAGAAGCAACAAAACTATAAATAGACAAATAAAAAGCAAAGAACACACCAAATACAATATATCACGAAAAGAAAAACATAAAAGGGACGAGAAACAAAAAACAAACAAAAAAAGCAAAACGAAAGTGCAGCAATATGAAGAAAAATAATAATAAGCCAAAAGCAATAGACTATTCAAGTGATAAATAACAGGAATGTAACAATACGAGACAAAAATAAGGAATTAGCTTGAAATACAAATCTACGAAAGGAAAACAGAAAAAAAAAAAAGTTGAATATAAGAATAGAAAATGAAACATTTAGGTAAAAAAATAGCGAAATAAAAATGAAATTCCACAAATGCGACAACAACACAACAAAAAAACTACAAAAACAACACAATACAAAAAAATCATACCATCACACCCTCAAAAAAAAAAAATAAATAAATGAAACAGATTAAAAAAAAAAAAAAATACACAAGAGAATACAACAGAAATCAGATACATCCAAAAATATCCCCCCCCCCTCAAAAAAAAAAAAAAAAAAAAAAAAGAAAAAAAGAAGAAAAGAAAAAGAAAAAATCATCACCTGTATCCTAGCTTCTGGGAGACCGATCTTGGCCGCCAATCTCTCGCGGGCGAACACATCCGGGTAGTGAGTGCGCTCGAACTCTGTGGGGGGGGGAGAAGAGAAGGGGGGGGGTTACTTGGCGGAACTGTTGTGGGGGCGTGGAGGGGGGAGGAGAGGCTAGGAAGGGGTGGGGGTCGGGGGTTGAGAAGAAGGGGGGGGGGTTACTTGGCGGAACTGTTGTGGGGGCGGTGGAGGGGGGGGGCCGTTAGGGTAGGGGAAGGGGGGTGGTGGTGGAGAAGATGCGAGGTGGGAGGGGGGAAAGTGGGGAGAAGAATTGGGGGGGGGGTTACTTGGCGGAACTGTTGTGGGGGGTGGAGGGGGGGGGAGAGGCTAGGGAAGGGGTGTGGGGGTCGGGGGAGGTGGGAGGAGGAAGGGGAGGAGATTTGGGGAGGGGGGTTACTTGGCGGAACTGTTGTGGGGGCGTGGAGGGGGGGGAGGTAGGAAGGGGGTGGGGTGGAGAAGAAGTGGGGGAGGTGGGGAGACAAGAGATGGGGGGGGGGGGGACGAAGGGGGGGAGAGAGAAGGGGGAGTGGGTTACTTGGCGAACTGTTGTGGGGGGGCGGGGGGGGGAGGTTAAGGTAGGGGTGGGGTGGGGGTGCGGGGGGGGGGAGAAGAGATTGGGGGGGGGGACTTGGGGGAAGGGTTTAGGGGGGGGGGTTTAGGGAGGGGGTGGGGGGGGGTGGGGTGGAGAGATGGGGGGAGGGGGGAGAAGAAATTGGGTGGGGGGTTGCGGAACTGTTGTGGGGGCGCAGGGGTGGGGGATGGAGAAAGGGGGGGGGGGAGGGTTGGCAGAACTAGTAAGAAGGTAGGGGAAAGGTTTAGGAAAGGGGAGGGGAGGTGGGGAGAAGAGATGAAGGGAGAAGGTTACTTGGCGGAACTGATGGGAAGTGGAGCGTGGGGAAGCTAGGGATGGGGGGGTGAGGAAAGGGGAGGAGGGAGGTCGGATGGTGAGGGAAGGGGAGGTGGGGGGAGAGGGGAGGGATAGAGGATAAGGATGAATAAAAAAGTGTTGAATGAAGGATGAAGGATAGAAAGAGATTCATAAAGAGGAAAAGGGTTCAGGAGATGATGAAAGATGGATGAAAAGCGACAGAGGAAGGGGAAGAAGAAAGGGGAGGATAGGAAAAGAGGGGGAAGGGAAAATAGAGAGAGATGAAGTAGAAGGATAAGGTAGGAGGAGAAGGAGAGGTAGAGTGAAGGGAACGAAAGAGAGGAAGGAGGAAAGATATACATCTAATATATATATATATATATATATATATATATATATATATATATATATATATATATATATATATATATATATATATCCAAACTCAAATAACAGTAAACAAACGATACATAAACACACACACACACACACACACACACACACACATCACACACAACACACACACACACACACACACACACACACAACACACACACACACACACACACACACACATGACACACAGGGACTACACGCGTCCACACATGACACATTCACAATGACATTTCATCTCATCACATACGACCTCGCACACGGCACTTTCCACCCACGTACCCAAGCAAAGATCTCAACAGCACTTTTTTTTTTCTGACAAACACACCCCGCTCTCCTACGCGCTTACACATGCTCTCTCCCCACAACATCTCTCCTCAACTCCCACAATACACTCCTCGCTCCCACAACACACTCTCTCTCCCACAACAACACCCCCTCTCACAACACACTCTCTCCCACAACACATACTTCTCCTCCCACAACACACTCTCTCTCCCACACATCCCACACATACTCCTCTCCACAACACACTCTCCTCCACAACACACTCTCCTCCCACAACACACCCCTCCTCCCACACCCTCCCTACCCCCTCCCACAACACCCCTCTCTCCGCAACACACTCTCCTCCCACAACATACCAACACACTCTCTCCACAACACAACACTCCTCCCACAACACCCTCTCTCTCCCACAACACCTCTCTCTCCCACAAAACCCTCCCTCCCACAACACACTTCTCTCCACACACATCTCCCACAACAACCCTCCCTCCCACAACACACTCCCTCCCACAACACACCCTCCCTCCCACAACACTCCTCTCTCCCACAACACACTCTCTCTACACAACAACAACACCTCTCTCCCACAACACACTCTCTCCTCCACAACAACTCTCTCTCCACAACACACCCTCCTCCCACAACACACCTCTCTCTCCCACAACACACCCTCTCTCCCACAACACAACTCTCCCTCCACAACACACTCTCTCTCTCCCACAACACACACAACACACTCTCTCTCACATACACTCTCTCTACTCTCTCCCACAACCTCTCCCACACAAATACCCTCCTCCCACTCACACTCTACACAACACACTCTCTCTCCCACAACACACACACCTCCCTCACAACACACTCTCCTCCCCACAACATACTTCTCCCTCCCACTACACATACCCACAACAACACAACTCCCACAACACTCTCCCTCCCACCTTTTTCCAAACTGTCGATCTGGTCGTTGGTGAAGGAAGTTCTGTTTCTCTGCAACTTCCTCTTGAGATGTAATCTTGCCTGATCTTCGCTATTGCTATTCTCACTACTTCCTGCGTTGCTGTCTTCGCTCAGTTCCCCGCCATCGCCTGTGGGAGAAGGGGTAAGGGGGGGTGGTTAGGGGGGGCTAATAATGGTTGAAAGTTGTTGGGATTGTTAATAGTTGTTGCTGTTAGTGGTGTTTGGGCTGTGTTGGTTGTGAGATGATTGGGATGGTGGTGTTGTTGTTGTTGTAAATGTTATGATGATGATTGTAATGATGATAATCATAATGATGGTAACAAGGATTATAAGTATAATAAGAATGATGACGATATTATCATTATTAATACTACTGCTAGCAGTTATAATAATAATGTTAATAATGACAATAATAATAAAAAAATAATAATATTGATAATGGTGATGATGATGATGATAATGATGGTAATAGTGATAAGGATAATATCAATACATATATACATTTTAGCAGGATCATAATAATGGTAATTCGCCGCAATTTATAGATGCTGAGTACCCCTGAAGACGGATGAATTTCGGTACAAAAAATGTGACTTGATATGAAGTGGAATTTCATTTTCTTATATTTTTCGAAAGATGTTTTCTCTCTTGCGTGTGAAGAAATATATTTTTCAAATGTTTATATGTTCATTTTCATTTTTGTATTTATTTAGCATTTCATTCCGCATAATGGCAATCTAAACGTACCCATGATAGAAAGAATTAACGTATATATATTAAGTATAGCCAAGAAATATCCTGTCTTTTACTTTCATATAGATATTTCTTTTTTCTGTTAAAATTCCATTATCTAGTTTCATAAACATCGTAAATCAGACGACACAAACGACCCCCAAGAAAATATCCTCACTTTTGAAAGCCATATTTAACCGGACCAAAATTTTCCCGCCATTCGTCCGCCATCTTCGCCAAACACATCCTTCTGGCTTTCCTGCAGCCGATTGCTCTCTGTCCTGTGGGGGGAAATTTTATCCCCCGCTGACTGAAAAATTTCGCGAATCCGCCCCCTGAGTTAACCTTATGGTGGTATTTATGCTCTTTGGCGAAGGAAATATAACACAGAGTTACCTCCGGCTTGCATTCATAACGGTTCCCTCAGCGGTCGGCGTCTTTCGACCAATGAGAATCGATGAAATGGAGGTAAACGTTTCAAAATCCAGGTTGCCATTGGTCACTTCCCCGGGGACTCGCATGCCATAAAGCTGGCAATTCAGGAGCGGCCCGAGAATGACAAAGGAGAGTATTAAGGAAGTAAACTCGATCCCCCTTTGCTTTCCATTCACAGTTTATTATGACGGGGAGCCGCTGCGTTGCCAACAATCATTTCCCTCCCCACATATTTCTCCCTTTTTATACGCCTTTGAGCCCCCTAATAATCTACGCGACTTAGCACCAATCCATCACATCGATTCAGACTTTCTTTCTCTCCTTTGGACATCCAGCGAGTATGCAAATGAATCGTAAACGGAAATGGAAATACAGGCATAAAACACCGCGGTTAAATAGCAAATGGCATCCCTCATATGGAGATAAGGCGTACATATTCCCCACGTGGCCAGTCAGGCAGAAGCCACTGATAAGTCGGGGTGTGTGTGTGCGTGTGTGTGGAGGGGAGGAGGAGGGGGAAGAGGGAACTGAGGGAGGGAGGGGAAGGGGAGGATAGGCTCTGGAAGAGAGAGAATGGCAGATGAGAGAAGGGGAAAGGGGAGGAAAATGAGATAGAGGATGGGAAAAAGAAAAGAGAGAATGGGATTGGTTGGGGGTAAAGAAATCAAGATTTGGGAAAATGTCAAACGTAAACAAGTCTAGAGAAAGAGAGTGAGTGAAAGCGAGGCAGACAGACAGATGAAACTGAAGCAGACAAACAGAATGAAAGCGAGCCGAACAGAGAGAAAGAGAGCGAGAGCGTATGTGAGAAAGAGAGGGGGGGTGCGAGAGTGAGAACAAGAGAGAGAGACAGAGAGAGAGAAAACGAGAGTGTGCGTGTGTGTGTGCGTGAGAGAGAGAGAGAGAGACAGAGATATACAGCGAGAGAACGAGAGTGCGTGTGTGTGAGAGAGATAGAAAGAGAGAGGGGGGAGAACGAGAGAGAGAGAGAGGGAGAGATCAGAGTTTCCAGTCAAAGTTTATGATATCCCATCGTACGAGAAATTGAAAAGAAAAAACGAACAGGGGAAGACCGAAATGCAGCAGATAAGAATGGGGAAATATGCCAAGACGGTAGAAGAGGGGAGAGGCCGAAGAAAAAAAGTGAGCAGAGGGGAAGCAAGGAACCAATGGATGTTAAAGGAATGGAAAATATATATTAAGAATCAAGTGAATTGAGAGAAAGAGAAAAGAAGGAGGGGGGGATGATGTGGCTGGGCAGGGTGGTGGTATGGGGGGGTGGAGGGTATTGAGAGGTGTAGTGTGGTGGTTGAGGGTGGTAGGGGGGGGTGGGGGTAGGGGGGGGGAGGAGTTGTGTGGTTGAGGTAGAGTGGGTGTGGGTTGTGGATGTAGTGTATGGTAGGTGTGGGGAGGTTTTTGGAGTGAGGGTGGTAGGGAGGAGATGAGAGAGAGGGATGTAGAGAGAGAGTGATGTATGTGACAGAGAGAGATTAGATGAGGTATGTAGTAGAGGAGGAGAGATAAGAGAGAGAGAGAGAAGGGAGGAAGGAGGAGAAGAATATAGAGAATGAGATGTGGAGGGAGGGGGAAGGTGAGCGTATTAGGTGAGGAGAGTTAGAGGAGAGTCGAGAGAGTAGGTGAGGAGAGAAATCGGTGAGAGAAGGAGAGAGAGACAGGATGATACACAGGTTAATTGATTCTTGATGTGGTGCACGGACCCAATGGCACACGACACACGAGGCACGCGATAAGTATGCATAGTATATAGTATGTGGCGAGAGGTATTAGTATGTAATATTAGTATGTGTGGTATATAGTGATATAGTTAGTATAGTATATATAAATATATATTGGTATGTGGGGTAGTGTAGTGTATAGGGGGTATTGGTATAGGATCGTATACACGTCGATAGATATAAAGGTACGGTACGACATCGTTGTGAGTGTTAACAGAACACTACACACAGAGGCGCAAAGGATGTACACAAGAGTGCTTCATATCCCCAAGAAAGACCGCCATAAAGATAAGATGGGGCGGAAAATAGAGTTTATAGAAGGGGGGATTGGGTGAAGAAGATAAGGTGGCTAATGAAGTTCTTTTTTCCTTCTCACTTTGATCTCGCCTCTTCGTCCCCGCCTTCTTCTCCGCTTTTTCTTAAACGGTTATCTTTCAACGTCCTGTCTTTTTTTTTTCTCTCTCCTCTTGTTCATTTATGTATATCCGCCTCTTTTCGTGTCTCTCTTTTCTGCCTAGTCTCTTTCTTTTTTTCCGTTTTTTTTTATCTCCCCTATTTCACTTTTCTATCTTTTCTTTCTCCTGCTGTACGCACTCCGCCCATTTTTCCGCCTCTCCCTTTCCCCCTCTTTCTTACTCCCTTCACTTTCTTGTCTCTCTCCTTTTTATTTATCGGTTTTCTCCTTCTCCCACCTTTTCTTTCTCTTTTTGCTCCTCATCCTATCTCCCCTTCCTCCTCTCCCCTCTCATTCCCTTTTCATCTCTCAGTTTCTCCTTTTCCCTTCCTTCTTTACCTCTCGCTCCTCTTCCCTCTCTTTCTTATCCCATCTTCCTTCTTCCTTCTCATCCCCCCTTTTCCCTCTCACCTCTCTTTCCTCTCCCCTCTCTCTCCTTTATCCTTTATCATTACACCCCGTCTCCCTTCATCCTTTCTCTCCCCTCCCTTCCGTCTTTTCTTCTCTTATCCCTCCCTCTCCCTCTCCCCTTTCCTCGCTTACCACCTTCTTCCCTCTCCCTCCCTTCCCCTCTCTCTCTCCTCTTCGCTCCCTATCCTCCCACCCTCTCCCTCTCCCCTCCCTTCCCTCCCTTCCCCTCTCCTCCCTATCCAATCCACTACCCTTTTCCCTCTTCCCGTCCGTTCCCTCCCATTCTTTTATCATCCCCCTGCTTTCCCTTTCCTCTCCCCTGGCGCTTGTCCCTCTGGCAGGTGCGCTGTGCGGTTGCGCGGTGTCGGGTGTTGGCGTGTGGTTGGTTCCCCTCTCTACGTACGCGGGGCCTTCGTTGGGGAGGGTTAGGTGGCTTCTCCGCGCCGTCTGGGTGCTCGTGTTTGGGCTCTGTGTCGTTGGCCGGTGGTGGAGCGTTGCGATCGTGGACTGGCTGTGTTAGTTGAAGGTGGTGTGGGGGCGGGTCGGTTGGAGGCTGTGTCGTGTGGTACATGATTGGAGTGGGACGGGCGGTGCAATTGGGACCGGCGCAGTGATTGAGGAGTGGGTATGCGGCTTCCGGATGGCTGGGTGTGATGGGGGTTGGTATGTGAGGTGGTGTGGGTTGTGGTGTGAAGGGGGGGTGGAGAGGGTGAGATGGTTGGTGGGTGTTGAGGGTGATGAGCGGTGGGTGGGTTGAGAGGGGTGATGTGGTGGTGGTGGTGAGGGAGGTGGTGTGGTGAGGGTGGTGGTGATGAGGGATGAGGGTGGTGGGGAATGCTGAGTGGGTGTGGCGTGGGGGTTGGGTGGGTGTGGGGTGTCGTGGTGAGTGTGTGGTTGTGTATTGGAGGTGGTGTTGTTGATGGGTTGAGGTGTTGGGGGTGTGGTGTGATGGGTGATTTGGAGTGTGTGTAGTGGGTGGGTGAGGGAGGTTGGGTTGGTATTGAGGTGGTAGGTGTGTTGTAGAGTATGGGTGGTGATTTGGAGATTGGTGGAGGGTGTGTGTGGGAGTGGATTGTGGTAGGGTGGTTGTGTTGAGGTGAGAGGGTGGTGGGGGGGAAGTGAAGTGGGTGGAGGGGGGGTAGGGGGGGTGGTGTGGAGGGTGGTGGAGTGGTGTGGTGGTTGGTGGATGGTGAGGGGGAGTTGCTGAGGTGGTGAGGAGTGGTAAGGGGTGGATATTAAGGAGTGGATGAGTGGTTGTTGTCGGTGGTGATTGGGTGATGTGAGGCCGTGGTGTGGTGGGTGCGATTGAGGGTGGTAGTGGTTGTGGTGAATGAGATCATGTGTTTTGGTGGATGTGATGTGATGTGGGTGGTGGGGTTTTGGTCTGAAGTGTGTATATATGGAGGAGATAGGATGTGTCGATGTAGTTTGTTGCGTGATATTGGGGGTATTGTTGCGAGTTATTTATTTACAGGTGGGAGTTAGTGAGTCGTGTGATGTAGTTTCGATTTATGATGGTGTGTGTGTGGCTAGTTAATTATCATCATATTGTAATCGCTTTCATTATTGCCATCATTATTTTCATCAGCAACTGCCTCATTATCATCAACCGTGTCTTCAGCAGTCAGTCGATGCGTTGCGTGATCATGCTAAGGTGTGCGACGGCGGAGTGCGCACAGTCGCTTTTGTGAGTCTATATGGTTTTTGCTGTGGGTCTGTGGCGCTTGTTGGTGTGGCGGAAGTCTCTGTGGTAGAGTGTGGGTATCTGCGCGGTTCCTTCTTCTATCGCCGCGTCTTGTGGGTGGTGGGGGTCGTGGTGGTTGGGGGTTTGGTTGTGTGTGAGTGGGGGGAGTGGTTTGTTTGTTGGGTTGGTGTTTGGGGGTGTCGTACTGCGGTTCCGGTTGTACCCTCGCCCTCGTTAGTTTCTGCCTGTGTTTGTTCGCTCGCTCGCTCGTGTTGCCCAAGAGATAGAGTTAAGCTGTTTTTTATGTTTGTGTGTCTCGCAGATGAGATCGATAATGATAGGGAGATGTTGTTAGTGTTGTGGAGGAGTAGTTGAATTGAAAGGTAGTTGGGTGAGTGTTTTTGTATTGTGTGTGTTGGTTTCGCTAGTTGTTGAGTTTAGTTTATTGTTGTGAGTTTGGTTTTGGCTGTTTTAAGGCTGCGTCGTGTGCCGCAGATTTGGTTAGGTAGCGCGTTGTTATAGAATCGTTCCTAGTGATGTAACAAGAAGAAGATTAATGTAGAGGTAGAAAGACAGCGCGACGAAGAAGGGTGTGGAGATGTTAAGGATGAGGCTGTGGGAGTGTGTGATTATTGGTTGGTGTGGGTGATATTTTAATTGTTAGTTAGATGAAATTCACTTTGGAGTTTATTAGTTTGGCAATTAATTTATAGAAAAATCCACTTTGCTAAGATTGGAAGGGGGTGAGAGGCGAAAAGTCTTCTAGGTCACTCTCATGGAAAATATTGATAATTGATCATAGGGAGACAAAGCGAAACGGCGAATAAAACAATTCTCCAAAAAGAGTAAAAAAAAATATTGATTGCGAGTGAATGGAGGGAGAAAAAACAAGAAATAAAAAGAGAGAGAGAGAGAGAGAGAGAGAGAGAGAGAGAGAGAGAGAGAGAGAGAGAGAGAGAGAGAGAGAGAGAGTAGAGAGAGAGAGAGAGAGAGAGAGAGAGAGAGAGAGAGAGAGAGAGAGAGAGAGAGAGAGAGAGAGAGAGAGAGAGAGAGAGCAGAGAGAGAGAGAGAGAGTGAGAGAGAGAGAGAGAGAGAGAGAGAGAGAGAGAGAGAAGAGAGAGAGAGAGAGAAGAGAGAGAGAGAGAGAGAGAGAGAGAGAGAGAGAGAGAGAGAGAGAGAGAGAGAGAGAGAAGAAAATAGAGAGAGAGAGAGAGAAGAGTACATACAGGAAGATGAAAAGAAAATGGAAAAAAAGAGGGAGGGAAGTCAAAGAGGACTCGGTCGATGGACAAAGATGGCGAGGAAGAAAACGGGAAGGGGTCCTAGCGAGGGAGGGGGCACTAAAATTAACCCCTCAGCGTTTTTTTCTAATCTGGTAATAGAGGAGACCTGAGTTTGACTTTAATACTGGTAATTTAGTGACTTCTTCCCTCCGCCGTAAATGAAAATTGACCTTTAAGACGAGGGTTCGTAATGGCGAGGATGGTGCGACCGTGAACAATAGCCTTTTAGATGATATTACGAAGATGAAAACTAAGCTTTAGGCATAGCGATCGCAAGAGCCAAAATAGACTGGCGCCTGTTTTATTGTCGCTCTATAACGGTGATCGAAATGTCCATTAGAAGAACATTTCCTCATTTTTCACACCTATTATACCCCAACTTTATATTTCTTCAGGAAGAGGAGGTCTTCGTCGACCAGAACTGTATCAACTCCGCCGTGAATCACTTAAGCGTCTTGCACCTTCCTTGAAAATCGCTTCGAAGACACTCCCAAGGAAGTGATTCCAGATGCCTTCAGTGCAATCTTTTCTAGCAGTTCTTCCGGGGATTTCCCTTCGGCAATCCCTCTAGCTTACAGGCTGACTTCTAGAGCTTGGTGCAGTCTC